AGTAACTCGTGCGACCTCTCTATACTATAGTAACTAGCGAGCTTACTATTATAGTGCCTCTTTAAAAGCTCTTGTCTAATCGATTGTTTAGCGGGGACATAGTATCTGCCCTTAAACTTTAAGTAACCTTTGTCGTCGATCGACTAACTATTACTCTTGCTAGATCGAGTCGCCCGTCTACTTATAAGCCTACTAATACGCTCGATAGCAAAGGCGTCCCTCTACTAAGTACGTAATAGCTTATCTATAAACGATTAACTATCCCTATTTACAAGGTTATTTAATAGCACCCTCGCTATTAAACGAGGTACGTATTATATGTATCTAATAGTACTAGCAGCTAGATTAACTGCAACCTCTTCTATAGTACTATCGCTATAGATAGCAATATCTTTAATCGAGTCGTTATAGCTCGAGCGATCTACGTCCTTTTTAACGTATACTAGAAGAACGACAACTCCGCTATAGTATTTGTTGCCGCCGCGGGGTCCGGAGGTCCGCTTATCCTACGTTTGCTTATTAATAATACAGGCTATAGCAATCTTATACTATAGGGTTGGAAACAATAAATTAATAGATTGCTAAGTACCGCTATCGTAATTAGGTCGCCTCGATAGGCTATTAGTAGGGTTGCTTACGCCTAGCCGATATAATATATTAAAATCAAACCTAGCGAGGTAGACGGCCTATCTAGCCTATCGACCTATAACCCTAGTAACCTTCGTAATTCTACGGAGGTTGTTATAGTCCGTATAGACCTAAATAGTATGCTATATACTATCGAGATAGTAGCGCTAGTGCTTAAAGGCCTCGACAATAGCTAGGAGCTTTTGCTCGTAGGTCTCGTAGCGACGTTTAGTATTAATTATCTTCCTCGAGAAGAAGGCAATCGGGTACTAGTAGGTGTTATTAGCCTGCTGTAACATAGTAGCTAATATAGCGAACTGTAAAGCGTTAGTCTCGATTCGGATCTGTTTGCTTAGCACGAAATAGTATAATAAGGGGACTTTAGTAAAGCGTTGCTTTAGACCGTTAAAAGCGGCTTGTGTCTTATTAGTCTATCTAAACTCTCTAGATAGATTAGCCTTAGTTTTAGTAAGCTCAGTTAGCGGCATTACGTGCCTCAAATAGCCCTTAATAAACCGACGGTAGAAGTTAGCAAAACCTAGGAATAATTGAAGCTCCTTAATAGACGTAGGAATAGGCTATTTAGTAATTGTTTTGATCCGGTTAGGGTTAGCCTTAATACCCTCGGTTAATACGAGGAAGCTAAGGAAGGATACCTCTTTAGTAGTAAAGGTGCATTTAGAAGGCTTGTAATATAGGCTGTAGGCCCGTAGGCGGTCGAGGACTTTACGTACTATAGCCTAGTGCTCTACAATGTTAGGTAAATAGGTATAGACTAGGATATTATCTAGGTAAACTATATAGAGGTAGTCTAATAGGCCTAATAGGGCCCGATTAATATAGGACTAGAATGTTGCAAGGGCGTTTGCTAAGCCGAATAGTATAACTAAGTACTCGAA